TGGGGTAAGAGGAGTTTCCAAAAGTTCAACTTCAGTCATTCCACCAAAAATCAAAAGGCCGTCGTGGGATTTCCAGGGCCCATATGAGCTACAGCCATGAACCTTGCTGCACTAAGGCATTCTGGATGGCTGATTACAACTGGGAATAACTGGGAATAAACTGATTACAACTGGGAATAAACACTTGAAAGTTTGAAAAGTCCTGTTTCTATCCTAGGTCACCAAAAGGTTAGTCTGGCAACTTACACAAATTGTATAGCTGTCTTCCAAAAAGTGGCCATGTGTGGTTGGGTAAAAAAGATATGCAGCTGTCACCAACTTTAACTGATTGTAGCCAAGAAAACTCTTGGAGAAGAATGGCTGCTCAGGCATTGGTGCTGATGGTCAGGCCTACCCACAGGGCATGTGTGACGAAATAGGAATGTTCTTAATGTTTTCTCTGAATACTGTGTGGGTGCCTCAGTTTCCCCTGTGCCTTTCTTAAGTATCTAGGTGGTAGGATAAGGGTGTGTGATTGTTGCAGAGCCCTAGAGGGCAGGTGTGCAGGGGTCTGCACAGAAAATGGCCGACACCCTGTCTCCTGGCAGCTGATGGCCTGGGCCCCTCCCCTGCAAAGGTACCAACTGAAGGTGTTGGAGAACAAAGAGATCAGGTGGCCTCCTGGCCCGGAAAAGACGTGGGGGGGTGGCCCAGAGTCTGGATCTGGGCTCCCCCCCCCCCAAGATGGACCTGACTGAGGGGTCCTGTTCTCTGTACCTACAAGCTCTGTTTTGGACTGTGTTCCTGCCATCTAATAAACCTTCTGTGTTACCGGCTGGCTGAGAGTCACGGTGAATTGCAGGAAGTGGGGGGTGCAGGGCCCTGACCCCCCCCCACGCTCCGTGACAGCATGTTGCTCTGCTTGTTTTATTATCCACATCCCTTTTATAAGGAAAGGAGTTGGAGGGCTATTGTAATAGAAGTATCCAGAGTATCCCGACCAAGCTCTGCCGAAAGCCAAACATACTCGTGTGCAGTGTCTGCGTCGTAGGAATATCCCAATTCCTGTAGCAATAGTTAGCAAAGGCACAAATTTGCCTATTGTATATGGGAACCTCAACCTCAAACCTGATTGCAGTGCGCAGGGCTGGCTTTCTGACGTGGAGCTTCCGGAGGGGCTAGGATCTGCTCTACAAGAGGAGAAATTGGCATCTGGAGCTGCACACTACCTAGCTTCAAAACCAAGTGTTAAGGCCACTTCTCTGACCATTCTTGGGGCTCCGAACCACTGTTTCTGTTTCAGCAAAACCATAATTGGAGGGTGGCTTCCTGTCTGTCCTCTATGCCCGTTCCATTTCAGTGTCTTTACTGCTCTGAACTTCCCCGTTTCCTGGACAGAGCTTTTGTGTGGCAGCACAGTAATAGCCAGGTGAAATGGGAATGAGATTCTCCCTTCTGGTAAATCAGCAGCAGATGAAGTGTGGTGAAGGCCCTGACCTTAGCAAGCAGAAAGAAAAAGTTCAAATTCTGGAGGATACAGCAAGAGTTGGGGGTGCAGCTGCTCTGGGGCAGTGGGACGGGCAGGATGGGCCATAAGGAGACTCCACACCGCGGATCCAGTTCAAATAGTATTCATCTCCCCTTTGGCCTTGGAGTTGATGCTTTGTGCTTTCTGTTGTCTTTTTCCTCTTTGGCCTGCAGTGCCTCCTTTTAAGAACTCCCAAATACAAGGGTTTTAGGCACATCCTTGCACCATTTGGACGCCTTGGGTCCCCACAAGACTAAACCTAAAAGAGCAAATTGCTCCCTGGTGCAAGTGTTCTGGACCTCCGAGTTCACAGCCATGAGGAGTCTGGCCCAGAATCGTCCTTGTCCATGTCACAGGTGGGCTTGGAGAATCCAGACACGTGCAGCCCCATTTTCCCCAGGAGCCTCCAAAGTCCTTGTGGGTATGTTGCTGTCATTCCGCTCCAGGCTTGTCCCTTCTATTAGCCCTGGCTGGTGCTGAAGGTGGCAGTGGCCTGGACAGAATTGAACTACTGGGCTATAACCACCACAGCTGCTGTGTAGTTAGCTCCTCACTGCCTAGAGGCTTCAAAGAAGAGGGCTGAAAAACCTGCCTTACAGGGAGACTTCAAAGCTCTACCTAGTCAGCTTACCAAAGAGAGGATTTGAGGTGACCCGATCACTCTGGAAGTACCTATGTGGGGACGAGGTGTCTGATACGAGAGGGCTCTTCAGGCTAGCAGACAAAAGCACAAGATGCAATGGCTGGAAGTTGAAGCTAGCCAAATTCGGGTTCGAAATAAGAGGCAAATTTTTAAGTGGGGGTGATTAACCATTGGCCCAACTTCGCGAGCGTTTGGGTGGTCGCTGTGACTCCAGGTTTGAATGTTTCCCCCCAGAGCAGGCGGCACAATCTCATTGTGGGTCTGCAGAGGCTATAAAACAAATGATTTTGGCAGAAGACAGTTCTTTACAGTCGCCCCTTGTTCTAGAGCGCTGGCACGTTCCTGTCTGCCTCCAAGCAGCCTCTTCTCTTCCCTCTGCCGCCAAAACCTTGCTGTGCCATTAGTCTCACTGCCCGGACTTCTCCTGCAGCTGGGATCATCTCACCTCGACATGAACCTGGCCTCCCCTAGTGACACCAGCAGAGCACTCCTCTGTGTGTCCCCTGGTAATGCCCCTGCTGC